TCATCAGCCCCACCTGCCTGCTTGTTATCCAAATTGTTGCTGGAGCTGGCAGATGTGATTAAGTTGCAGCAGATGAGAACTGTCATCTAAAGTGGCTGACAGCTTGCAATGTAGAGATCTATCCTGGTAACAGCTTCCTCTTGGCTAAATGGCTTTTCTTTCTGCACTGAGAACTTCAGCCCCACCAGAAAACAAATTGCCCCACAAGTCACAAAATCCTGGCTACGGGACTGGACCTCAATGGGGTGCAATGCTCTCCCAAGCATCCATTTTCTCCAGGAGAACTGATTTCTGTGGTCTGGAGATGAGCTGCTATTCCAGAGGGTCCCCAGGTCCCACGTGGAGGCTGGCGTCCCTGGGTGAACAATTTGAATGGGGCAATTGAGATCGATCCCCTTTTAGCCGGATCTCCACCCTCCTCTCTCCTGTACACCTGCTTCCCCAGTTTTCTTTTTGCATGCAGCGAAACCTTCATCAACGGAAAAGGCACGGATGCTAGTTGTCGGGCTTGTACTGAGCGGTCTGCCCCCCCCCCTTGCTGGACGGCCGTTCTGTACTTCTGGAAAGCCATGTGAACGACTGACCTCACCTCCACGGCCTTTGGTCTCCTTTCCAGCACTTTCCAGTCATTCTTTGCTCTTCCCAAAAATTGCATTCTGTAATGGGGAAGGGAGGGGGAATGCAGTGAGTTCACGGGCAAGAAAAAAAAATTCCCTTTCTCAGCCGAACGGCGCCTTTAAAATGTGCGAGAATGTCCTGAAGTTGCTTGAGAAAGGAACATTGGAATAAATTGTGTGTCCCCCGGGCCAATGTTCCCTCTAAGCTGTGGAGTCTTGTGAGCAAAAATTCTACTTTGTGAGCTACCGGTATTAAAGTTGTGAGCGAGCGATTTGGCTACTGAATACATTAGTTTGCTTTGGAGTCATCCATCCTGAGCTAAGACAAAAATGTGTGAGCTGGAGGCTAAAAAACTGTGAGCTAGCTCACACTAACTCAGCTTAGAGGGAACACTGCCCCCCCCCCCTTTAAGTCATGGTTTATCTCCCATATTATCAGTCCTGGGCAATCCTGCCCAAGAGACCCAGTTGGCGTCTTTCTCTTTCGAACAGCTTTAAAAGGAGATTAGATAGATTCATGATCTATCAATGGCTACTAGCCATGGTGAGTGAGCAGAACCTCCACATGCAGAGGTACTAATCCTCTGAATCCCAGTGCCAGGAGGCAACATCAGGGGAAGCCTATGGAGCATAAACATCTGGAGCAGAGGTCCATCAGTGGCTCTTAGCCACAAGGTATAGATAGGAACTCAAAGGCTGGGGCAGGCGATGATCTGTAGTCTTGGTGCTTGGGGGGGGGGGCAACAGTGGGAGAGCTTCTAGTGTCCTCCTGGCCCCACTGGTGGACTTCCTGATGGCACGTGGTATTTCTGGCCACTGTGTGACACAGAGTGTTGGACTGGATGGGCCACTGGCCTGATCCAACATTGGCTTCTCTTATGTTCTTATAGGAACTCTTAGTCTGGAGCAAGTGATGCTCTGTCTTCTTGGTGCTTGGGGGGGGACAACAGGGGGAGGGCTTCTAGTGTCCTGGCCCCACTGCTGGACCTCCTGATGGTGGTTTAATTGCACCCTGCAATCAATAATCTGATGATGAAAAACACAACAGTCTCTACATCTGACAATAGCACTACAGATAAGATTAGAATTTCAACAGGCCAGAGCTTTAACCACTACCCCATCCTGGCTCAGGTTATCGGTTTTATCAGCATTCCTTACCTGATTGATACTGCAGGTTGTCATCGTGGGGGTGTGTGTGGAAATAATACCTGGAGATTGGGGGGGGTGGAGCCTAGGCAGGAGGGATTGGGCAGGGGAGGGACCTCAACAGGGTATAATGCAACAGAGCCCATCACCCAATTTTAGTATATGTGCTGCCGAAGCGAGCACAACAGAGCCCATCACCCCAAAGCCGCTATTTTCTCCAGGGGGACAGATCTCGATTGGCTGGAAATCAATTGTAATAGCAAGAGATCTCCAGGTGTCACCTGGAGGTTGGCAGCCCTAAGAAGACTAATTTAAACAAGGCCGGTTATCTGAAAGGTGGTGTTCCTGAGCTGTGAACGAACACAATCCTGTATTCCTCACCTCCTTTCACAGGTTCTCACGCTCCAGTCCTTACACCTTCCCGTTAATTAGAATTCTTCTCCTCTCAGCCTTCGGAGTTGCAAAGCTGTGTTGATTTGTCTGCTCAGGAACCGCAGCACCATCACAACGCATAGGATTCTGGGCTGTATTGGGGGGGGGGCATTCAACAACATTCAAAGAGGGCTCCCACCACAAACGCACGGAGCCGTTTCCCAAACAAAATAAAGCAGCAGATACCCGATGTACACTAGCGTTACCTGCCGATACAGAGGTTGGTACCCTTGAAAAGAGATGTTGTGTCCAGGAGGAGAACACCCGACCCCAGATCCATCAGCTGTCTCCAGAAAGCAGCTGAGAAAGAGCGACTGCAAGTCTCCTAAAGGTCTTCCAGCTAAAGTTGCCAGGGCTATTCTTGGGCCGGAACGCACAGGAACGGAAGTTCCGGCTGGCTTCAGAGTTGGCCACGCCCAGTACAGCCAAAGACTCTTTGTGCATGGCTACAGAGGGAAGGCCTGGAGAGTGACCATTTAAATGCCTCCTCGTGCCTTCCCCAGCCTGTCCAAGGGCCGGCTTGCCGGGACTCCCTGCAAGGGCACGGGGCGCCCAGGCAAGCCAAGGGAAGGCATGGGGTGTGACCTAATATGCTAATGAGCTCCACTGTCATGGGGTGTTGTCTAATATGCTAATGAGCTCCACTGTCATGTGGTGTTGTCTAATATGCTAATGAGCTCCACTGTCATGGGGTGTGGTCTAATATGCTAATGAGCTCCCCTGTCATGGGGTGTGGCCTAATATGCTAATGAGCTCCACTGCCATGGTGTGTTGTCAAATATGCTAATGAGTTCCTGCTGGGCTTTTTCTACAAAAAAAGTCTTGAAAGTTGCTAATTCCATAGAGGGCTGCCGACTCGGGGTTGGGAAATCCCTGGAGATTCCTGGGGATTTTCTGGAGATTCTTGGGAGGAAAAGGAGGAGATTGGATTTATTGGATTTAGGAGCCAGTTTGGAGCCTAGGGCGGCCAACCTCCAGGTGGGCCCTGGAGATCTCCTAGAATTACAACTGATGTCCAAAATACGGAGATCAGCCCCCCCTGGAGAAAGTGGCTGCTTTGGAGGACGGACTGTTGGGAATCATACCCTGCTGAGACCCTTCCCCTCCCGAAAGGCAGTCTGGTGCAGTGGTTAGGAGCACGGACGCTAATCTGGGAGAACTGGGTTTGATTCCCCGCTGTTCCCCATGCAGCTGCTGGTGTGGCCTTGGGTCAGTCACAAGTTCTCTCAGAGCTGTTCTCTCAGGGGCAGTCCTCGAAAGAGTTTTCTCAGCTCCACCTACCTCACAGGGTGTCTGTTGCGGGGAGGGAAAGGGGATTGTCAGCCACTCTGAGACTCCTTTGGGTAGTGAAGGGTGGGGTATAATAATAATAAGAAGAGATTGGATTTATACCCCACCCTTCACTATCCAAAGGAGTCTCAGAATGACTTACAAACTCCTTCCCCTCCCCACAACAGACACCCTGTGAGGGAGGTGGGGCTGAGAGAGCTCTTGACATAAACTGCTCTTTGTCAAGGACAGCTGTGCCAGAACTTGTGACTGACCCAAGGTCATCCACCTAGCTGCATGTGAAGGAGCGGGGAATCAAACCCGGTTCTCCCAGATTAGAGTCCACACTCCTAGCCACTACACCAAACTGGCTCTCTAGGTATAATGCTCTAGAGTCCACCTTCCAAAGCAGCCATTTCCTGATCTCTGTTGCGTGGAAAACAGTTGTTAATAGCGGGAGAACTCCAGCCACCACCTGGAGGTTGGCAACCATATTATACCCCCAAATATCCAGGGATTTCCCAAGCCAAAGTTGGCAACCCTAGGTGCAGGAACAGTCATTGCCAGTGGCTTGGTCCAGTCTGAGCAGCCACCACGAAAGCGGCGGCTCTGTGGAGACTTCTGAGCTCAGTTTGGGCTTAATCCATCCCCACTGAAAGAGGACCTGCCCCCAAAAAAAGATTATGAACTGATGGGAAACCAAGAGAAGAGCCAGGATCCACCCTCATGACGGCCAGGGACGGATTCACCATGAAGCAGACTAAGCAGGTGCTTAGGGCGCCAGGGCCAAAGGGGGGAAAGGGTGAAAAGAACTTTATGTAGCCCAAGCTTGGCTTAGTTTATACAGTCTATTGCGTTATCATAGGAATAAATTTTTGTATGGCTGCAACCTGCATTGTAAGGAGCATTGTTGTCAATTATGCTAATGAGTTCCTGCTGGGCTTTTTCTACAAAAAAAGTCTTGAAAGTTGCTAATTCCATAGAGGGCTGCCGACTCGGGGTTGGGAAATCCCTGGAGATTCCTGGGAGCAAGGAGCTGCGGTGGCTCAAGTGGTTAAGACGCTGAACTGCAGGCTGGGACCCGGGGGCGCCGCGTGACGGAGTGGGCTCCCGTCTCTAGTTCCAGCTCCTGCCAACCTAGCAGTCCGAAAGCAAGAAATTGCAAGTAGATAAATAGGTACCCCTTCGGTGGGAAGGTGACAGCATTCCGTGCACCTTGGTGTTTAGTCATGCCGGCCACATGACCACGGGAACATCTTCGGACAGCGCTGGCTCTTCGGCTTGGAAACGGAGATGAGCACCGCAACCCTAGAGTCGGATTCGACTGGCTTTTGAGCAAGGGAACCTTTACCTTTATCTTTACTTAACCTGCATTGTATGGCTGATCAGACAGGTCAACAACTAAAACGGACTGGGTCAGTGCGGAAAGGAGGGGGGCACCAAGATTGGTCAGTGCTTAGGGAACCAGCGAGCCTTAATCCGCCCCTGCATGGAGGCCTCTGAATTTTCTTTTCCCTTCCCTGCTGGGCTGTCTAGTGGCAGACTGCAAGCAGCCGCTGGAGCTGGCCCACGGCTTCGTCACCTTCTCCACGCCGGACAACCTGACCACGTACCAGTCGGGGATCCAGTACTCCTGCCAGCCTCCCTTCTACCAGATGGTGCCCAACATCACAGGTGAGAACGCCTGACTTCGCTGGGGGAGGGGGAGGAGCCGGGGTCTCGGCAGGAAGGGAATGAGGGGTACGTGGCGTTAATGGGGCAACAGAGAATAACAGATTGGATTTATCCCCCGCCCTTCACTACCCAAAGGAGTCTCAGCATGGCTTACAATCTCCTTTCCCTTCCCCTCCCCACAACAGGCACCCTGTGAGGTAGGTGGGGCTGAGAGAGCTCTCTTGAGAACTGCTCTTTTTCAAGGACAGCTCTGACAGAACTGTGGCTTGCCCAAGGTAATCCAGCAGGTGCATGTGGAGGAGTGGGGAATCAAACCCGGTTCTCCCAAATCAGAGAACAGCTCTTATCAGAACTATGGCTTGCCCAAGGCGATCCAGCCCAGGTGCAAGTGGAGGAGTGGGGAATCAAACCCGGTTCTTCCAGATTAGAGTCTGCGCACTTAGCCACTACACCAAACTGCAAGTATAGGAGACACAGTACTTGAGTGAGTAGCATTTCTACAATCACTTCCCCCCCCCCTCCAGTCTCAAGGACTTACTATGTTCCAGTTTGCTTCTGACAATGGCTTCTGAAAGGGGATTGTTGACTTTTGCTTTATCTGACAATAACCTTTGGCATGTCCGATCCCCCAGGCTGTTTGCCTGACTTCCCAAAATCCTACATCATCTGTATTAAAGGTGAAGGTTTCCCTTGCTCAGAAGCCAGTCGAATCCGACTCTAGGGGTGTGGTGCTCATCTCCGTTTCCAAGCCGAAGAGCCGGCGCTGTCCGAAGACGGGTTCCCAAAATCAGCACCAGCATCTTTCCCTTTTCCATAGGCTCCACTAAATCATTACAAAGAAAAGAACAAGCTTTTGGGTTCCCCAAACTGAGCGTTCGGTGCACACAAAAAGGAAATTAACAGCATAAGAAAAAAGCACCAACAATCTACGGTTTGTCGCCTTCTTAACATGGAGACCGGGAGGTGTTGTAGCCGTGATTAGACCAGATGGTGCCGAATGCTAGTCACATCCCAAGATGCGCCACAGCACCAGAGTCTGCCATGATGCTGAAGATGAGAAACCTCCTCTCTCTTTGAAAATAGAAAAGCCAGCCAGGAATCAAAACCAACCCCAGAGCTAATCAGAATTCCTCTGTATCCCTTCTAAGGCAGAAAAACACACGATATAGGAGCTGCGGTGGCTCAAGTGGTTAAGACGCTGAACTGCAGGCTGTGGAAGGTCGGTAGTTCAGCAGTTCGAGACCCAAGTGTGCCGCATGACGGAGCGAGTTCCCGTCTCTAGTTCCAGCTCCTGCCAACCTAGCAGTTTGAAAGCAAGAAATTGCAAGTATACCACTTTGGTGGGAAGGGAACAGCGTTCCGTGCACCTTGGCGTTTAGTCATGCCGGCCACATGACCACGGAAACGTCTTCGGACAGTGCTGGCTCTTCGGCTTTGAAACGGAGATGAGCACCACAACCCTAGAGTCGGATTTGACTGGCTTTCGAGCAAGGGAACCTTTACCTTTACCTTTACTCCTCCATGAAGCTGGGGGTTCATTTTAGTAGATGATGCGCTAGGAAAAAGCTTTGACAGCAGCCAAATTTTATGTTGTTACCGAGAGGACAAAGAACCCTCTGTCAGTAGAGTTGCCAACATCCAGGTGATGGCTGGACGACTTTCAGAATTACAAGTCATCCCCTGGCTATAGAGATCAGTTCCCCCAGAGAAAACAGCTGCCTTGGAAGATGGGCTGTATGGCATTAAGCCTTGCCTGGGTCCCTCCCCTACCCAAAACATGCCCGCCACAGGCTCTGCCCTCCAAAATCTCCAGCAATTTCCCTACTCAGAGCAGGCTACCCTACCCATAAGCAGTCCCATAGGTATGGCGGGGCTTTGGGGGGGCTCTGCCCCCTTGCTTAAAGGCACAGCCCCACAAGAATTTATCCTGTAAAGGCTTGTTTCAATCATTTTAAAACATTTTTAAAAGGTGTGTGCTCCTTTAAGCAGAGTGGGGTGTTGTCGTTGACTAATTCCCGCACTGAGCAAGGAGGTTGGAGTAAGTGACCTCTAGGATCCCTTGCTCCAGTTTGGTGTACTGGTTAAGTGTGCAGACTCTAATCTGGGAGAACCAGGTTTGATTCCCCACTCCTCCACTTGCACCTGCTGGGTGACCTTGGGCAAGCCATAGTTCTGTCTGAGCTGTTCTTGAAAAAGAGCGGTCGGGCGTAGAGCAGCTGCCCTGTGAGGATCGGTTAAAACACAAAGGGCCGCTTAGCCTGGAAAAAAGGCAAATAAAGGGAGACATGATAGAGGTTTATAAAATTATGCAAGGCATGGAGAGAGTGGACTGGGGAAAATTTTTCTCCCTCTTCTAGAATGCTAGAACCCAGGCCCGTAGCTATGGTGGGGCTGGGGGGGCAGCTCTGCCCCCTTTCTTAAAGGCACAGCCCCACAAGAATTTCTCCTGTAAATGCTTTTTTCCAATAATTTTAAAACATTTTTTTTAAAAGGTGTGCGGTCCTTTAAGCAGAGTGGGGTGCTGAAGGTTGACTAATTCCAGCACTGAGCAAGGGGGTTGGAGTAGGTGACCTCTAGGATACCTTCTGACTCTGTGTCAAGAAACTGGTCTTCTTCAAGAGAGTTTTCCTGCCTCAGTGTTGGCTTTCCTGACTACAGATCACCCCCACCTGCCGGCTTGTTATCAGAACTGTTGCTTTGGCTGGCAGAAGTGATTAACTTGCAGCAGCTGAGAACCATCATCTAAAGTGGCTGGCAGCTTGCAGTTTAGAGATCTACCCTGGTAACATCTTCCTATTGGCTAAATGGCTTTTCTTTCTGCACTGAGAACTTCAGCCCCACCAGAAAAACAATTTG